TATTTATGTTAATCATATTTTCTAAAACCTTTTTAGAATTAAAAAAAATTAAAAGAAGCGAACCAGGCTTATTACTAGAGGTCCTTGCTCATAATTTTGCAGCTCAGAAATTGGCTTTCCCGACATGAGCACACAGGAAGATCTCTCTGCCTGTTTGAGATTTTCTGTCCCCTGTAGAACATACTCAGATCGCATTCTTCTGGAAACACTCTCATAAGATGGCAACTGGCAGTTCCAGTCTTTCTCTCAATGCACCTGGAATCTTCAGACTTGAAGATGATTCTGAGACTTGAGGTCTGTAACACCAACTGGGATGAGAGAATGTGCACTGAGTTGATTTGAGAAACTATTCTTCTGTCTCTTCCTCTTGCCCAAATGCAAAGGAATATACAATGGGTGCTACCAAATTCCTGTCTTTCTAGTGACCTAAATCTGCCACTGTGAGTCTGAATCCAAGGCCCGAGGCTCCTCAGAATGCATTAGAGCAGGATCCTTAGGAAAATCTTGTTTTTCTTCCCTCACTACAGCACCCAGGAATACAGAGCAAGCAGGATCTCATCTACAATCTGCACACAAGACCTGGATTCCACCTGGAATTCAGAAGATAAGGCCAGACTTTGAGGTGAGGATGCATAAGCCCCCAGGGGAGACTTATTCTGTAGTGTTAGAGATCATCATAGACTTTGTAAACATAAAGGACCTTTTGGAGTGGGGGCCCAGAATTTTATAGATCTTGCCCAGGGACCTATTATAACTGTGAGATAAAAAATAGAAAGGCTGGCACCACATTTCAACTCTGTTGGGAATTACTGCACACTTTGTACCAACCTTTGGGCATTATAAGGAGTAACTCACACAATGTGAGGTTCTTTACATTGGGAATTACTGGACACTTTGTACCAACCTTTGGGCATTATTAGGAGTAACTCACACAATGTGAGGTTCCCAGCACAGTGCACTTAGTATTTGCTCAGTAAACATTGCATCAGTGCCTGGGAACACGTGGTTTTCCAAATGCAGATGTATTCAGATACTGCTGCCTTCTCTAGCCACAGTAAACCTTAAAGTGCCAGCAGAGACTGTCACATTACAGAACGGTGATTAATGGTCATCCCTGTGAAACATAAATATGTTGTGATAAATGTTGGCATAAGGGACTCTGTGTGCTATGTGTGCCGTCTCCAGCTGAGTGCTGCTGATAATGAGTATGGGGGCTACATCAGCATGGACAGGGAAGAGGCCAGTTTATGAACCCCTCCCACATCTGCAGATCACATTGAGCAGAACCCAGAATACCACAAGATTTCTATGCTCATTTGTCAGAGATGATTTGTAGGTAAGTGGCTTTCAGCCCAGGCTTCCAATTAGAATCACATGGCCACTTTGTAAAAACATCATCACCTGTGCTCTACCCGCATTTTCTGTCTATTAGTCTTGTGAAAGGATCCATGTGGCTTTAATTAAGTGCCCCACGTGTTATTAGGTGGGGGCCAAGGTGAAGCACAAGTGATTTGAGTTACATTAATGAGAGCTGAATTCAGCCTTCATTTCAGAGGGAGGTACCAGGATCTGCTCTGGTTTGGTGTGATGGGAGCTGATCAGTGTGGTCCATATGCCCATTGCCATAGGAGAAAGTGCTGGTAGTGTGGGAAGGGAGGGCACCTGAGGGTAGGAAAGAAGAAACTCACATTTTAGTCTCTATGAGGAGTTCACATTCCTGATGTTTTTTATTAAAAAGGAGAAGAAAGTGTAGTTTTTTCTTGTTATGAAGGCCCTCATGCCTGTGAATGTTGTAAAAGCAAGTAAAAAGATTATGCTGATTCCTTTCAGGGTTATTTTCTAAATATAATTCTAATTTGTCTAGACAATCTCACCTGAAAAGAAATCCCAGACCAAGAAAAGGAGAAGAAGACATGGCTGGTTCACAGGTAAATATGTCAAAGGTGAAGGGCTGTGTTTACTATTCCTCCTGGAATGTCATGTGGAACTTATGAAGGTAGAATTTGCAAATCCTTTCTCCTTTACTTTTGATGTTTTTACTAATGAGTTTGTTTTCACTCCTTTTTTGCCTTTTATTATAATAATCAAGGAGCCCTGTAAAATCCTTCTCCTCAAAGTACCACAGCATTCTCTATGTCCCAGTCCTATACAAGCCATGGGCAAGTTTCCCAGTAAATATACAACATGTAATATTGAAGATGTTCAATATTTGAACATTTTTGTTTACAGTACAAAATATATGTGAATCTTTGTTCATAGGACAACATAGAATAGTGAGAAGTGTGGCTGTCCAGAACTCCCACTGGGGATTGGGCCTGATCCTGGGAAATGACTGAATAAGGGGAACATGCTCTGTTCAGGTTCCATCTGGATGCTCCATTAGAATCTATGCAGAACAGGACTAAGAAAATGCAGGCAGTGAATGGCATTAATTGCCTAATGTAACTCAGAGAGTTCTGAAAAGAAGAAAAATAAGAATATACTTTCTTTTTAGGATACTAAAGACAAACCATTGAAATAAACTATTAGAGATTACAGAAAATGCGAGCTGTCTGTAGCATGAACTTTGCATAAAACTAGTATTTTTTTCCTTATTTTTTTTTGAAACAGAGTCTAAAGCTGTCACCTCAGTAGTGTGCTGTGGCGTCACGGCTCACACCAACCTCAAACTCTTGAGCTTAAGCAATTCTCTTGCCTCAACCTCCCAAGTAGCTGTGACTATAGGTGCCCATCAAAGACCTGGCTATTTTTTTGCTTGTGGTTGTCATTGATGTTTAGCGGGCCTGGTCTGGATTTAAACCCTTGAGATCTGGTGTATGTGGTTGGTGCCCTAGCCATTGAGCAGGCATGGAGTCAAAACTAGTATTTTTTTATCATTAATGTTTTGGTTACTACTATTTGGTTACTACTACTACTACAGCAGTGATGTTGTCTTCTCCTGTGTTTAGTGGTACCTAATACAAATTGGCCCATGACAGTAGATGTTAATTTCATTCACTTGGTTAAGTTGCTCTCTGATCACTATAAAGTTAATTATTTTTCTCTTTATCATTAATAAATGTCTTGGGGGAGATATGCTGACTGATGTTCTTAAACTATCTCATTTAATCTAGAAGCTTCACTTCTTTTTGCTTCTTTTCTTACAGATTGCTTTGGAAAATGAATTCTATCATTTTTATTCACTGGTCAGATAAAACTAAAGTCTGCCACTTCCTGGATCCTTGACATAAGATTCTCTTTGGGCCAGAAGGTTTAACTTTACTGGTGAAGTTTTTGAAATGCAGAAAACTTAACCTCACCCCAGATCTGCTGAATCAGAACCTGCATTTAAAAAAGATCCCCAATTCGTTATTGTACACATTAAATTTGGGGAGATACTTTTAATTCCTCATTTTTATCTATATAAGAAATACTTACATCTTGTTCTATATGCTAAAAATACAGTATTCAAAATTTATATGTCTGGATGCTCTTAATTTTGTTATCATCCAGAAAGATCTTATGTATATGCTATTTTAATGAATCTTGTGCCATCCTTATTCCTCAGAGTTAGAAAATACTTTCAAGACTTTTTTTTTACTTTGTAAACTTTAATTTCTTTCTTTCTTTTTTTTTTTTGTCACCGCAGTAGAGTGCCTTGATGTCACAGCTCACAGCAATCTCAAACTTGGTTCAAAGTGATAAGACTATTTTCTTGAATAAAGATCGCTGTTTTTTTTTTTTTTTAAATCTTACAGATAATCCTAGTCACTCACATGTCAGAAAGAGTTCTTATAACTTTTATATTCCCTCTGAAATTAAGAACTCTTTTTATGACCAGTTGGTAAATATGTGTCTTTTTCAGAACCTGTTGACATTCTGGGATGTGGCCATAGAATTCTCTCCAGAGGAGTGGGCACGCCTGGACATTGCTCAGCGGAATTTGTACAGGGATGTGATGATAGAGAACTACAGAAACCTGGTCTCCCTGGGTGAGGGTAATTGCAATACACAATTCCTATTCCCCGCTAGGGGTATCACTTTCTTTTTCTGTAGATTGCTTCTTGAGAATTTCTGCTTCACAAGAAAATGTTTTATATCCATGCTTTTGAAGAAATTTGGAGGTTTGTTGATGTAAAACAAACAAAAAAATTAGATTCTTGTCTTGAAATAAACCTTCCCCTTTCTAGAGCTGATGCTGTATCTTTCACTGTAGTGGTAACTCCAGAAAGTCTAGAAATGGCTTTCTGCATCCAGTTTCCACCACTTATTATTGATTCAGTGGCAGCAGAAAGAGGAGCTCACGAGCTATCAATTTGAACTATTTTGTTAGTATTCTAAAGAGTCTGTCAGTAAAGAATATTTGGGGGAACAATTTTGTAGAACTTTCTATAATCTTCTCTCTTCTTTACTCAGGACAGTACTAGATTGGTAACTGGATAATCTACAGCACCATTCATACAAATTCTTTCTAATAAAACAGGACTTGCTGCCTCTAAGCCGGACCTGATCAGGTGTCTGGAGCAAAGCAAAGAGCCCTGGAATGTGAAGAGAGTAGAGGCAACAGCTAAACACCCAGGTAGGTGAGAGAGAATGAGTAGGGTGACCAGACGTCCTGCTTTTGGCTGGACAGGCCCGCTTTTGAACAATTTGTCCTGCGTCCCGCGGAATTTTAAAAAAGTCCCGATTTTTGGAAAGAATGCACGAATGGGCAGAAGAACAAGAAGGGAATATACAGTTTTCAGCTACCATGTGGCTATTTCGCCAGAATATGAGTTTCATATTATTTTTGTTAATTTTATAATGTTAAACTGTAATAATAACAAATAATTGCTGAGAAGTGATTATCGAGAACTGCTTATCAAAGTTTGCATTGTTGTCAGGCCCTGCCCTGCGCCGCACTCCCCGCCCCCCCCAATGTTGTCCCGCCTTACCAATGGTAAAATCTGGTCACCCTAGGAATGAGGTAGATAGCAGAGCACAGAGGGGCAAAGGTCGAAAGAAATCCAGTCTTTAAAAGGTGGTTTGGGAAGCTCTGATTTATTAGAAATTATGTAGAGAGGGCTGAGTAGGTCTTTTTCTCTCACAGAGGAGCATCTTCTGTCTTGTTCACTTAAATTCTCTAAGAACGCTACTACCCTTTGCAGTGATCTTCCTTAGAACTTAGTTGGGAACCGAACGTATTTTCCTGGGTTACAAGGGACTAAATGGTCTGATGGCATTTTCATTGGTTTGGAGGATATGGGAGTACCTGCACATATTTTTGAAGAGCTGTATGTTAAAATAAATAAATAAATAAATATATATATATATATATATATAACTTTTTTCTTTTAACACGGTCTTTCTCTGTTGCCCCAACTGGAGTCTAAAGGCTGAGCATATCTCACTGCATTCTCAAACTCCTGTGTTCAAGTGATCCTCTCACCTCAGCCTCCTTAACAGCTACAACTACAAGCATGCATGACAATGCCCAGCTAATAATAATAGTAATTGCCATTATTATTATCATTTGGGGGATGAGTTCTCATTATATTGCTGAGGATAATTTTAAAATCCTCATGTCAACTGATCCTCCTGCCTTGATCTATACATTTCTGGGATTACAGACTCAGCCACCAAGCCCAGCTCCACTTCTAAAGTCTTTTTTTTTCCTTCATGTCTGACATGTGTGAAGGGAATGGAAGAAATATTGAGAGTTGTTTCAGAAGTTCAGGCTTTTTTGTTTTCTTCTTTATGATTTTTACTTTTAAGGAGGATTCAGAGTGATTGTACAGAAATTTAGCCTCATTAATTTTATAAAATCACATAATTTTTAAAAAATATATAATAAAATTTAATGTGCCTGTAGTTTCAAATATTTGGAAGGTTGAGTCAGCTGAATCACTTGAGCCCAATAATTTAAGGTTGCTGTAAGCTATGTTAATGCCATGGTACTCTACCTGGGGTGACAGAATGGAGCTCTGTGTCAAAAAACATCTAAAACTATTTTATTGCTAAATATTCTTTTTTCTAGTATAAAATAATCTTAGAAATTTCAATCCTCTATGCCCAAATTTCTCAACTATAATATAGTTTGTTATCTACTCTCCTCATACAATTCTTAAGTATACTATGTCATTGAGAAGCTCAGAACTGTCAACCATATTTTATACTCTCAATTGATACCTAATATTTTGATAACTTTTATTTCATAATTTTCTCCTGTGCAGTAAATTATCAGAAATGTGTCATGTGTATGTTTGTATATATAAATGTGTGTGTATGTGTATAATGTAAAATTTTTTTCACAAATAATATTGTATGACTGCATTTATTACTTACAATAATTTGATATGTATGTACAATGTGAAATAATACACTCAAAGTAGTAAATGCATCCATCATCTTACATATTAACTATTTATTCATAGTGAGACTTAAGGTTTACTGTCTTAGCAAACTTTAAGCCTACAAAATATTGTTATATTATTATTTATATACCTTATTATATTTTTAACTGTAAACATGGTGCTGTACATCTGTTTTCCATGACTTATTCATCTTACAAGTAAAAGTTGCTACCCTTGATTGTCATTACCACACATTTTCTGCCTCCCAGCCCTGGCAACTCATGTTGTAATCTTTGCTTCTATGAGTTCAACTTTTTAATGTTACCTATAGCAGTATTTCTCTTTCAGTGCCAGCTATATGTTACTTAGCATAATGTCCACCAGATCCATCTCTGTTGTTAAAATTGCAAAATATTCATCATTTTTATGGCTGAATAGTCTATGGTGAGTGTGTACTCATAATTTTTTATTTATTCACCCTGAACAGCCATTTCAGTAGTTTCCATTATCTTGGCAATTGTGCATAATGCTGGAATACACATGGGGTGCAGATTTTTTTTGAGATACTTATTTCATTTCATTAAATATCCATAAGTAAGGGATGGGCTATATGGTAGTTATATAATTTTAACTTTTTAAGCAGATCTGTATGATGACTATCAATTTATGAACAGCAATATTTTACAGGGTCTGCTATTCTCCACATTCCTGCCAATACCTATTATCTATTTTGTTTTTGATATTAGCCATTATAGTAGATATTAAGGGATATTTCATCATGGTTTTGGTTTGCTTTTGCCTGATTATTGGTAATGTTAAAAATTTCTTCATGTACCTGTTCTCTACTTGTGTGTTTTCCTTCAAAACAATCTTTTCTATTTTTTGCCTATTTTTCAATTGTATGATGATGATTGATTTTTTGCCTTTGAATTATATAAATTCCTTATATACTTTTGGATATTAATATCTCATCAGATATGTAATTTGAAATATTTTCTCTTCTCCAGTAGATTTTCTTATTTTGTGCAGAAGTTTTTGGTTTGATGCTGCCCAACTTGCTGATATTTTTCTTTTGTTCCACTTCTTATTATGTCATATCAAAAAAAATCATTGCAAGACACGTCAAGAAAGTTTTTCTACATGTTTACTTTAAAACAATTTTAAGGTTTCATGCCAAAACTTGTTATCTTTTCCTTTTTGATAATTGTTATCCTAGTAGTTATGAGGTGATATCTCATCATGGTTTTGATTTGCATTTGCCTGATGATTGTTAAAGTTGAACACCTCTTTATGTACCTGTAATTTTGGGGAATGGCATAAAAAATGGTCTAACTTCATTGTTTTCCTTGTGAGTATTCAGTTTTCCCAGCACAAAGCATTGAAGAGATGGGCTATATGGTAGTTATATATTTTTAATTTTTTGATGCTGTTTTGATCACTATCAATTTATAGTATAGTCTAAATTCTGGAAGCATAATTCCTCCTGATTTTTTTTTATTTCTAAGTAATGTCTTGGCTATTTGAGGTTTTTTCTGTTTCCATATAAAATGAAGTACTAATTTTTCCACGTCCTTGAAGTATGACAGAGGTGCTTTGACATGGATCACATTAAATCTGTAGATTGCTATAGATAGTATAGACATTTTAACAAAGTTGATTCTTCTTAGCCATGAGCACAGTATATTTTTCCATTTGTTAACATCTTCAGCTATTTCTTTTGTCAGAGTTTCATAGTTCTCTTTATAGAGATCTTTCACATCCTTGGTTAGATATACTCCCATATATTTCATCTTCTTTGGCACTATTGTAAAGGGAAGAGAGTTCTTGATTTTTTTCCCCCTTGACTGTTGTTGGTATATAGAAAGGCCACAGATTTGTGAGCGTTAATTTTTTAGCCTGAGACATTGCTGTATTCCTTGATCGCTTCTAGGAGTTTTGTAGTTAAGTCCCAGATATACAATCATATCATCTGCGAAGAGTGACAGTTTGATCTCCTCTGGTCCTATCTGGATCCCCTTCATTGCGCCTTCTCTTGCCTGATTGCGATGGTTAAGACTTCCATTACAATGTTGAAAGTGGTGGATATGGTGGGCATCCTTGCCTGATTCCTGATCTGAGTGGAAGTGATTTCAGTTTTACTCCATTCAATATGATATGGGCTGTGGGTTTGCTGTAGATGGCCTCTATCAGTTTAAGAAATGTTCCTTCTATACTTATTTTCTTAAGCATTCTGATCAAGAAAGGATGCTGGATATTATCAAAAGCTTGTTCTGCATCAGTTGAGAGAATGATATAGTCTTTGTTTTTTAATTTGTTTATGTGATGTATTTATTAATCCATTCATGGGTCGATGGGCACTTGGGCTTCTTAAACTTAAGACATGAAACTATAAAAATTCTTAGAGTGCAGGGAAAACAATAGAAAAAAAATTGGCCTGGGAGAATATTTTATGAGGAGGACACTCTGGGCAACTGAAGCAACATCAAAAATACATTCCTGGGATCTGATGAAATTAAAAAGCTTCTGCACTGCCACAAAGACACTAAGTAAAGCAGATACACAGCCCTCAGAATGGGAGAGGATTTTTGCAAGTTATATTTACAACAAAGGTCTAATAACCAGAATCCACAGAGAAATCAAACTTATTACTAAGAATAAAACAAGTGATCCCATTTCATTGTGAGCAAGAGACATGAACAGAAGCTTCTCTGAAGAAGACAGGTGCATGGTCTATAGATACGTGAAAAAATGCTCATCATCTTTAATCAGAGAAATGCAAACCAAAACTACTCTGAAATATCATCTAACTCTAGTAAGAGTAGCCCACATCACAAAAATCCCAAAACTACAGATGTTGGCGTGGATGTGGAGAAAAGGGGAACACTTCTGCACTGCTGGTGGAAAGCTAGTACGGTCCTTTTGGAAGAAAGTTTGGAGAACACTCATGGATCTAAATGTACACCTGCCATTTGATCTTTTCAGTCTTCTAATGATAGCTTGCACCCCTTTGTCTTTTACCTCATTGAATTTTTTATTTCCATGTTAATTTTATCTTGATCCCATAATCATTTAGCAGTATTTTGTTTCTATGAATTTGAGTAGATTTTTCTTTTGTGAATGATGTCTTCTTTATTTAGGAATGGTCTGAGAAGATACATGGTATAATTTTGATTATTTTGAATTTGTTGAGACCTGTTTTGTGGCCTAAGATATGATAAATGTTGGAAATACTTCTTTTGTTGTTGAGAAAAATGT